CTCTGGTCTTTTTATGAATTAGAAATAGGTGTCCATTCTGTGCAGACACAGCTCCACGGGCACATGTCTTGGCAAAGGATGGCACTTTGTGTAGAGTAAAAGGTGCTTGTGCCCTTCTGTGTGGACACAGTCCATGCCAGAGCGCACAGCTTGGTGACCAGAGCGTGGGCTAGATTTTAGCTCCCTTGCACATTCTTGGCCTAGAACGCTTGTGTGTGACACAGCCGGCATAACTGACATGGCAGCCCGGAGGTTTCCGTCTGTCACTGTCCTCAGCCCTGAGATCTGGAGAGAAGGGGAACTAGCCCCAATTCGTTGTTGAATCTCCTTGGTCCCCAGTTCCTACGGATGGCCTGCCTCGATGTGGCTCGAGGCAGGACTGGTGCTGCCTTTCTAGAACAAAGCAGGAAAGACAACACAACTTCTCTAAACCTTCTCTCGAGTGACCCACGGTCACTCTAAAGAGCTAAAGAATCTCATAGCTTCAGCAAGGAGCACTGTGTTCATACTCCCAACACACTGGACCTGTTCATCTAAAAGAAAGTCACCAAGTTACACCAGAATAAAAACTGGGAACCTATTTATGTGGACTTGCAGCTTTTTAAGGAATGTGGGTGTTAGGGATGAAGTTCGAATGTGGGTGAGAAAGAATCAATCCTCAGACAGAGTTTAGGACAGAGAGAAGCACGAAATTTACGACTCCTTCTCCAAAGAAAAGGAGGGCACAACACCGGAAATAGGAGACACGCTGGCCCTGAGGCCAAAGGACTGTAGCTCTTTATTGGGTGGACTGAAGAGGGCTTGGGGGAGATTGATTGTAGCCCAGTTAGCAGAAGACAGCTGAGAACTGCTGAGTTCGTCCTTGCCTGTCTCTCATGCAGCAGGTTGATAACAGGAACTGTTTTCTTCTTTCTTCTTGATTGTGGGAGACATCTGGTACTGTCTCTCCTTGAGGTGGGGGAAGCTTGTGCCTCTGCTGTCCACCCAGGAACCCTTCAAGGCTGTTTAAACAGACTCAGAACACTTTGTCTGTAGGTAGTGAGTCTAAAATGACAGTTCATCAGATTGTTCGCCCTTTCCTTCCCCCTCTCCTTTCCCTTTTGGAATGTGAATTGACCAGCTCTGGCCATGTTAACGAGGGTTTACACTTTCCTCTGTTAGTTCAGCTTCTTTTAATTGCTAGGCGAACACCTCTGTAGGAGAGATATTATGTTACTAACCTTAGGAGTAGAGTTCATACTACTCTAAAAAGCTGTCAGTTAGAAATTTATTTTTCTTGTTAGCCCATTAGTGAGACTGTCCTTTCAGTAGGAATTTAAAAAATATGTGCAAGTTGTGAACTAAAATAAAATCTTAAGCCCCCAGCTGACTGAGTGGATCCCCTCTTGGCCAAAGGGACCCCAGAAATACCCTAAAGCTGAGTTGCTGGCCGTGAGAAGGGAGGTCAGACATGCCTCCTCATGCTCCCACTCCCTCTTGGAGATACCCTTTGTAACTCATTTACAGGCCTAAGGCTATGCAAGACAAAGCTTAAACCACACGTGTGTCATCAATTTACTTAACAGATCACGTGAGTCTTCATATATGTCCAATATATATCTGGCAGCTTGTCTTTGATTAAGACTTCCTTATCTTAAAACATTCCAAGCCTTTAGACAAAACTTCATCTCTTTAAGTAATCACAAATCAAAGAGTCCTTAAACCCACCTATAACGTGTAATGCCCCACTTCGAGATGTCCTGCCTTTTCCAGACAAACCAAATGTACACCTTCCATGTATTGATTTATGACTTTACCTGTAATTCCTGTCTCCCTGAAAAGTGTAAAACCAAACTGTAACCCAGCCACTGCGAGACCACTTGCTCAAGTCTTCTTGGGCCTGGCTCTCTGGGACATGGTTGCACATATTTGGCTCAGAATAAACCCCTTTAAATTATTTTTCAGAGTTCGAGTTCCTTTCTGTTGACAAAGCTGCTGTAGTGATGATACTGAAAGCAACGGTTTATATATGGTGGTGATGCTTATTCTGTGTTTCAGCAACAGCAGGGAGGTCTGGGGGTGTAAGCACTGAAGGCTCTGGGTTGGCTTTCAGGAAGTCACTCTCAGAAGTGGGGTGCCCATGATGCTGGGGTTCTGTACAGAGACAGATTTCATGGGTTTAGGAGGTGATCAGAGACGGGAAGGTGGACAGGGTCAATGTGGGTTACCCTTTTGAGATATTTAGTTGAGAAGGGGAAGAGACATAGGATGATAGTAGGTGTCATGGGGCCATGGAGGGACGTTAGGGGTGGGAAAGAGTTGAGCATGAGAGGAGAGGCTGAGAGGAGGGGCACGGGAGAGAGGAGGGTAACTGATCGAGTGCAGGATGAGAGGAGGCAGTGCAGGGAGGCAGACTGGCAGCCTGTACAAGAAGAAAGAAAATAAGGTAGGGTGGAGGCAGGTGGGAGGAAAGACCCAGAAGGGATGCTGAGGGAGATCACTCCTGCTGGCTTCAGTGTTCTTGGTGAAGTGGGAAGCCAGGTGAGGGGATGGGGACCGAGAGCTAGCCAGTGGAGAGTGGGAAGTTTGGGACATGAATGGGAAGTTGACAGGGCAAGGGAGAGATTGAGCACCCAGCTGAGGGTGTAGGGCATGACTCTGGTGCCTCAGATGACATGCTTGTGTGACATCCCTTGGTGGTGCCCAGCCTCTGTGGCTGGTTGGGGAAGGAATGTGTGGTCGTGACCTAGAGATAGGACCTGTTAGGCTGATGGTTGAAGGATAGGGCATAAAGGACGTGAGGATGCTGGTGAGAAGGCTGCCCAGATGGTCACTGGCCTGTTTGTTCTACGAGGGATGAGACAGCATCATTTTTGTTCACCACTCCTCTCCACCTGGTCCATGCCTGGCACATAGCAGATGCTCAAAAAATATTTGTCGAATGGATGGCTGAATGAATAATGCTTAAGTCAGGAAGGGTAGGAAAAGAGGCCAGGAGAGAGCTAACAGACTGGGAATGTGTGAAGGGGTCAAGGCAATGAGAGTGTTTACCAGAGTGAGGAGCAGATGTGGTGGGAGGCAGGTGGGAAAGAACTGGAAGGTGGAGGTTATGGCTGGAGAATGGGGCTCTGGGGTTTAAGCTTCCAGGAGGGATCAGTTCTTGGGGATGGCCCAGGGTGTGGCCCTGGAGTGGGTGGGTGGCTGCGGTGGAGTGGAGGAGGTGACTGGAATTGAGAAGATCAACAGATCAAGGGTCACCCTCTCAGGTGGGACTCACCAAGGACAATGATGAGGGAGGGTGGGGAGCAGCATGGTGTTCCAGAACCCCAGGGGTGGAAGAAACCCTCTTCCTTTTGTTCAACTTCCTACCAAATGATGGCAAGAAGATTGGCTTGGATGGAATGACGGGGCTGTAACATGACAGTGGGGAAGTCAGGCGGGAGGGAAGAAGGAAGGAGGGTGTTATAGGTCAAGAGAGGAGCTTGTTCTGCTAGAACAGGCAGCCCGGTCATTTTCTGGGTAGGAGAGTGGCATGTTGAGGATGGTATTTGCATAAGATCATGTTGGAAGTGATGTAGGGGTGGGTGGGAGCAAGGAGCGTCCAGAGACTCTGGGTGGATCTTTGGGGAGAAATGAGCCACATTCAACCTCATGACCCACTGCGGTTTGTCAGGCTGTCATGACCAGCATAATTTCTATCCACTCAGAGGGTCAGTCAGGCTGGGACATGCCCTGCACCTGTGCATGTAACACACTCGGCTGTGTTGGCTTCAGCAGCTTTGGATGACCCAGCTGCAAATGAAGCCGTATGTCTGCTGCACACACTGGTTCCTGCAAGGCTGTTTATCCCCACGTGGGATGCTCTCTGTTCTTTCCACCAAATCTTCAAGATGTCGCCTCTGGGAAGCCTTCCTTGCCTAATCTCCCTCCTGTAACTGCAATAGACACGTGGCTGTTTCTGACCCTGTCCATGCCTGTCTCACATACTTGGGGAGGGTGTCAGGCTGTTTGCTTCCTGGGTGTAAAGCCCATGCCTCCTCCTTCCTCCAAACTTCTCGTTATGTAACCAAAAAGTACTCAATAAATGGAATAGAACTGCTTTTGCTTAAACTTTAGTTCCCATGCTGTCTCGTGTGCCTTGCAATGAGAGCCCTTCCCAAAAATCTTTGAGAGCTGACCTGCCATCTCATGAGCTACTCCCATGTTGCCATCTATAGAGCCAAGCACAGCGTTAGGTTCATGTAGATGTTGAGATGTGAACAAATGTGTCTGTACTAAGCCCAGTATAAGCACCTACTGGAGGCAGGAAGAACTCTGGAACCTGCAGCACCTCCTGAGCCTGCTCTTTATTTTAATTACCTATAACTAGAAAGTTCTCAAGTTATCAAGTTGTTTATCCCCCTGCACAGGGTCAGATGGCAGTGAACCCACCCTTCCTTCCAGAGGGGATGTAGCTCCAGCCTGGAGTGCCAGCCCTCCTGTCTCTGCGGGGAAGGCCTCCCATCCCCACTCCTACCGCAGTCTGTCCTTTCCCTTGGCCCGTGCTCACCAGAAACCTCTAGATTCTGATCCTCGCTCCTTATAGCCAGGATGACTATTGCTATTACCTCTAGGGTAGAATTCTTAATCACCTCTCTTTTGTATATTTTGGGGATAATCTGTAGCCTCTCCCCCAGGCACGCAAGGGCATCAGGCTGCCAAGACGAGCATCTAAGCTGTGATGTTAGGGGGCATATAGGGGCTAAGAAAGTCTGAGGAAGTGAGGTGAGGTTCAAGTCCTTCCAGTCAGTCAGGTCTCCTCTCCCACCAATTGGATGATCTGGCTGCATTTCCCGTACACCTAAGATGGGCTTGGTCCAGAGAGGGAAGCCGTCCCTACTAGTGGCAGCCGATTTAGTTAGTCTCTCTGTCAAAACCCCATCCCGAGCTCATGTGTGTAGGGCTCTGTCCTGGCTTTGGGGTAGGGGATGACTGGGGCAGGAGGGCTGTCTGGAGGGATAAGGCTTTCCTCCAGTGCGACAATGGAGGTGGGACACACAGCCACCCTCACAGAGGGACAATGTCAGGAGCAGGAGAACTTCACAATCATTGATCCTACAAAACCTGGGTGCCCACTAGGTACTGTGCCAGGTGATAGAGAACTCTGGTGAACCAAACAGATGTGGCCCTGCCCTCATGGCCTCTGTTGTCAGGTGGACAGGGCTGCAGCCCTCACTGCAGGGGAGAGGCAGGAAGGGAACGTAGAATCCACAGGGGCTGAAAAGGGGACTGAGGGGACATGTTTGAAAGGGAAAGAGACTGGGTGTGGGCTGTGAGGTGAGAGAACAGGAACAACAAGACCACCCAGGGAGCCACAGGGAGACAGAGGGGATGTAAGGGGCTTTCTTGGTCACCCAATCTCAGATGAGTGTCCTTAAGTGTCTAGTCCACTCATTCCCACCTAGGATTGTCTGGGACATTCTGGGCTAATCCCCCCATCCCTGACTAGAATAGCAGCAGAAGTGCTGGTCTCATTGCAGACCCAGGGACGGACCATGTGAGGCTCTCTGGGGAGTTCCATGGATGCACACTGTATGCGACTTGGAGATGCAACAATTAGAAGGAACCCGATTTCCCACTGGATCCTCCCAAACTCTTCCCTGATTACAGGATGAGCCCCACTGGTTCTGGGAGGTGGACAGCAGAATGACAGGAGTGGATGCCCAGGGTTTTGGGGGATTGAAAAAGCCACCTAGTCACCTAATTGAATCTGCTGCCTCCTGAGAAGCCAGTGCCCAGGGCGCTGGGGCCAGACTATGCCTGGCTGGAACCAAGCTCATTTGTCAGGGGAGGGCCTGAGTTTGTTCCTGCACACAGTCTGTACAGGCTAATTACAGGAAAGAACTGAAATGGAGACTCCAGGATTACAGTGAAGGAAATTGGTGTGGGGATTAGTTTCAACCAGAGGATGAAACCTAGCAGATCATCATATTAATGGACCAACGCACTGGGGCCTATAAAAGGGGCCACCTCTCTCCCTGTGTCAGAAGGTGCTCTGTCCTCTGAGGCTTCCTGAACCAGGACGTCTTCCTGCATCCACAGAAAATGATGAGCCAGAAGTCCAGCAGAGCCTCCCAGGCCACCCAGGGCTCCAGTGGCCGCTCTGCCATCGTGGTGTCTGGCCAGAGCTGCAGCGGCTCCAAGTCCCAGTCTGCCTCTCGCTCTGGGGGAGGCAGTGCCTTCTTGGCCTGTGCTATGATGGGGGGCACCTTTGGCAGCAGGAGCCTGTACAGCCTTGGGGGCAGCAAGAAGATCTCGCTGAGTGTGGCCGGAGGTGCTGCCCAGGCTGGGGGTGTGACACGGGGGTGTTCGGGTGCCTTCGGGGGCAGCCTGTGTGGGGCTGGAGGAAGAGGCACGAGAAGTGGCTTTGGAGGAGGCTCCTTCAGGGTTGGGGGGAGACCGGGCAGCTTTGGAGGAGCACCTGGTGGAGCTAGAGGCCTTGGGAGTTCGGGGAGCTTTCCCCTCAGCATCCAGGGGGTGACCATCAACCAGAGCCTCCTGCAGCCCCTGAACGTGGGGATCGACCCCTAGATCGGGGAAGTGAAGACCCAGGAGAAGGAGCAGATCAAGACCCTCAACAACAAGTTTGCCTCCTTCATCGACAAGGTGAGTGCCCGTGGTGGGGGCGGGGCCATGGCCCTGAGATCCCCTGTGGCCCCCCCAGGTGAGGGGGCCTGGGTTTGGGGGGCAGGCCTGCTCCTGAGCTGGGGCTGGGCAGGCCACGACCTCTTCTCCATGGTCGATCACAGGTGCGGTTCCTGGAGCAGCAGAACAAGGTGCTGGAGACCAAGTGGTGCCTCCTGCAGCAGCAGACGGCCACCTCCAACGCCAGCGCTGATGACCTGCAGCCCTTCTTTGAGTCTTACATCAGCTGCTTGCAAGCCCACCTGGACAGGCTGCTGACGGAGCGGGGCCAGCTGGACGGGGAGCTGGGCACCATGCAGGTACTCATGGAGGAGTACAGGAGGAGGTGAGTGACGGGTGGTGCACAGGGGTCCCAGCGATCATGTTGCAGGTCGGGGATGTGGGTTTTCCAACTGGAGAGTCAACGCATGTTCTCAAGGCCTCTGTCTGTTGGCCACAGGATGGGGTGTCAGGAGGGCCTGCGGTGAAAGGAGGATCTTCTCTGTTGATATTTTGTGTTGGTGCCAAGGAGAATGAGGCATATGTCTCAGAGGTGGGCATCTAAAGTGCTCCCCAGCAGACAGAGGTAGATGTTCAGGCACTCCATCATTTAGCAGTGATGGATCTCATACTTTGCTGTTTACTAGAATCACTTTGGGAGCTTTAAAAATTCTAAATGTCCAAGTTGTACTCATGATCCATTAAATCAGGATTTCTGGGCCTAGGAGCTAGGCATTGGTAGCTACAATAGAACCCCAGGTGATTCCAATGTGTAGCCAAGGGTGAAGACCAGTTAGAAAATATGTTTGTTCTCGGTGGTGAGAGAGCTTCAAGGGGAGGCCAAGGTAGGAAAGAGCCCTGCTCCTGGTCTGATGTGGGGAGCAGGATACAGACCCAGGACACAGATGGAGCTGGGAGTCTTGGGGGGCAGATTGAAGGGGAAGATGGCTTTGGGACTGAGCACAGGCCTTGGCTCACAGGGACTTGGGTGATACCCCAGCAGTGGAGAATCCAGACAGCTCTGTATGAATGTGCTGCTCAGGGACTACACGATTCCATTATGTGTTTTATCTCCTTCTATTTTCAGTATCCTGGAGTATTGGAAATGGGGGTACCATTGTATTCTTAAAGGCTCTACCATTCTAATAATGCATGCCGCCCTCTGATCTTAGCCTGGTCTTATGCAGGAAACATTCACCAGCAGCCCTGCTCCAGGGTAGCCACCACCTCCCGGGATAAACACCTTTCTCTGTGCACCTGTGCACCTACCTTTGGCTCAGTGGTTCCCTGAGCATGACCTCTCTCCTTCCTTGCGGGTATGAGGATGAAATTAACAAGCACTCAGAGGCTGAGAATGACTTCATGGTTCTGAAGAAGGTGGGCAGGGCAGGGAGCTATGCAGTGAGGAGATGGATCCAGGAAGTGGGGAATGGTGGTACCTTCTCAGGGTGTGAGGCTGGACAGCATTTCCTCCAGAACTGGATTTCCAAGTGTTCTGTTGCTGATGGCCAGAACCCAGAATAGCGCCTGCCTCAATGCGGAACCTCTACTGTGAGGGTTTTCTTCCTGGAGCTGAAATACCTCCCACGTGTGTTGGACTTACCAGTTGCAAACTGCTCTGAGCCTTCATTACACCGGTTCACTGTCGAGCTATTGATAACTATCGTTAAAATCACCCAAGTTGTGGAAACTGACAGTAGCACATCTCCTCTAATACTGAGCTCAGTTGTCAAATCTCTCTCTCTCCTGCAAGTGTAATGTCTGGTTTAAGTGATTTTCGCTCCCATCTCCATGTAAACATGCTGTTGATACTACGAAATGTGAGTAACATTGAAGTGAGTAGGGCTCATCCCCTGCTTGTTATTTTCAGAGTGTGGATACATGCTACATGACCAAAATGGACCTGGAAGTCAAAATGGAGAGTCTGACCAGTGAGATCAACTTCCTGAGAGCCCTCTACGAAGCTGTGAGGACCTTTATCCTTTGCTCTAGGGTGGAAGCCACACTCGGGGTGTCAGATTGTGCTTGGTTCTTGGATTCTGCTTCCTTTGTGAAATCTGTTTGCAGGCAAATGCTTGCAAGGTCTTTCTCACCATTATCCATATTCTTTCCTCATTTCTCCTGTTTTACCCCCTCCCCCACTGTGGCTCACCTTCTTCCTCTGTTCTCCTTCCCAAGGCTCAGGGCACCTCCCACCTGCAGGTCACACCTTTAGCATCCGCATGCCTACAGCACCCCCGGGAATCTATGAAGAGGGGCCAAGAGGTGAGTTATGGATAACCCCTTATTACCTGCTTGACAGCTTCCTGCTGCCTGGTTTCTCTGGATCACTGTCTTGTTACCTTCCTTTCTCTTCACCGAGATTGAGTTTTCTCAGTCTCTTAACATTCCTGAGCCAATGGATGATAGGTTCAGGGCATCCTAGAGAGATGGTGACAACTGTCCAGTGATGTGCCCCTGTGTGCTTGTAGGAGTATAACCAGGTCCTGTCAGAATCCAGCGATACCTCTGTGGTCCTGTCCATGGACAATAACCGGCACTTGGACCTGGACGGCGTCATTGCTGAGGTCAAGGCCCAGTATGAGAAGATCACCCAGAAGAGCAAGGCAGAGGCTCAGACTCTGTACCAGACCAAGGTAAATAAGGATCACTGCATCAGCCCGGGCCCCACGAGCCTTCCCAGGGCTTCTGCCCCTTCACCTCCAGCCCTCCTGGCACCCTCCCAGAGAATGCACATTTTATTCATTAGGAAGCTCACTGAAATTTCTTTCACAAGTTCCCGTAACTTGCAGAGTCCTTGTAGTTCTTTTCATTTCAGTCTCTGATGTGTCTAAGGGCAGCCATGGGTTTCAGTTACGTGATTCTTTCCACTCTAAATGCCTGGTGGACGTCATGTGACCTAGCATTTTTTGGATTGATTGTAATTCTACTTCCCTTTTATACATGTGTGTTTGAGGTGGGGATAATCTCTCCCTACCTGCTCTCTCTGTCCACCACCCACTCGACTCCAGCTTGGGGAGCTGCAGACCACAGCCAGCAGGCATGGGCATGACCTGAGGAGCACCAAGAGTGAGATCGCAGAGCTCAACAGGGCAATCCAGAGGCTGTGGGCCGAGATCGAGAGCATCAACAAGCAGGTGAGGGCTGCTCCCCAAAGCCTGGCATTATGACTCTGATGACAGTGGTGTCTTGGGATGCTGGTGAGGCACCTGGACCTAGCAGGTGGGGCAGCCCCTCAGGCTCCTGACCAAGACCTTCAGGAACGGGGCTTCCCAAGTGATGCCACACAGAGCGAGGGCTTCATGTTACCTTTACTCGATCCATCGTCTTAAAGGGGGGAATGATCTCTCAATCGAGTGGTCATGGCCCTGAAGAATTTATGAACTAGGCGGGGCTGAGTTTCTGGGATCTCTGACTATAGATTATCCCTCCCCAAGAAGTTGGGAAGCAGGTGACCACTATCTCTGGGTAAGGGCTCAGAAAACCACTGTAATGTCCCAGCATGGTTTAGTTACATGGATATGAAGGCTATGAGCAGAAGAAATTAGCATGGCCAGCCACACAGTACATAGGTTAGAGATTTTCGTTAAGGAGACCGATGGAGACCTGTGCTCACCTGCTATATGCTCAGGTGGGTCCGGAGGCTCAGAGCACATCTTTTCCCTCTTCTTCAGAATGCCAACCTGCACGTGGAAATTTCTGATGCTGAGAAGCGGGGGGAGCTGACCCTCAAGGATGCCCAGGCCAAGTTGGTGGAGCTCAGAGAGGCCCTGCAGCATGCCAAGCATGCAGCATGCCCAGCTCCTGCGTGACTACCAGGAGCTGATGAGCACCAAACTGGCACTGGGTGTGGAGATCGCCACCTATCAGAGGATGCTGGAGGGCGAGGAGTGCAGGTGGGTGGGTGCTCTGGTGAAGGCAAGGAACCCAACTTGAGAAGGAAGTTTCTTGGTTATCTCTACTGTGTCACAGTGATTTTTGCCCCTGCATTTGCTCCCCTTGGTATACCCAGGCTCTATCACAATGGCAGAGGACAAAGGAGGTTCTCAACAAAATGCTTGGTGAACTGACCTGCACTGCCCAGGACTCTCCCCTTGGGCTAATGGGTAGCAATGTTATACATGCTAGAGCAGAATGCTGAGAGCCTCCTAACAGGCATACAGGGCAAAGGCAAATGTCGGCCAGTCCTGATGTGGTGGAGAATGCAAAGATGGGTACTAGGTGGTCCTAGGGGCCTGCTGCCTCTACACTCCAAACTGGAGTTTCCACTTTCCTCTGAAACAGTCACTCTTCTTTGCCTTCCCTTCCTTGTTAATGTTATCATTGTTAATGTTGGAGTCTGTGCAGTGGTCTAGAAAAAGCACCTAGATGTGGACGCTGTCCATAGGCCCAGAAAGGATGATGCAAATAAGAGCCATGTCACTTATGGCATGCGCACTGTGCTAGGCCCTTCACATCGCTTGACTGACTCATCACACAAACTGATGAAGAGGCATGTTATCCCAGTTTTGCCAGTGAGGTAACCAAGGCCTAGGTGATGGCAGAACCAAGTGTCCAGAGACGCATTATGTTTCTGTTCTCTGCATCCCCATCTTAGAATCTCAGGGAAGCCCCCTTCTCATTGTCTACCCTCGATCCCTGATGCTGAAGCTCATATCATTGTACTCTGGCATCCCTGGGGCTAATTCTGAAAAGAGATTGTCCCCCCTGGATAGTTTCATGATGGGATTTTCATGATATTTATTTCATGTTTCTGAACAGGATGTCAGGGGAGTGCCAGAGCCCAGTGTGCATCTGTGAGTATCTTGTGTCCCCCTTTTCTGTTATTGTAGCTGATTCCTCGTGGCTTTGTATCAGATTGCTTACCCACGAGTTGCCTTTTCTGCAGCCTTGTCCCCAGAGTGACACAAATGCAGGGGCACAAGGGAGAGTCCCATGAGACATATTTGGGTAGAATTTACCTGGTGGCTTGTCCAGTGTATGTCCTTGGCCTACCTCCATCAGAGAACTCCCAGGGGAGGGTCATCTCTCTTCTTTTTAGCTTTCCTCTACCACCCATTCTTCAGACAGGGGTTGCATGCACTGGGCCTTTAGACAGGCAGGGTGTGACTGAGCATTCCATTCTTTTTGCAGCTGTGGTCAACCACACTTCTAGCAGCAAGGGCATTGGTACTGTGGGCAGCAGCAGCAATGGTGGCTGGGGTAACAGAGGTGGCCAGGGCATCCAAGGGGACAGCAAGTCCAAGACTGTTGGGAAGGGCGTCTAGTCTAGAAGCACAAGCATCTCCATGGATTGGAGTCCTGGACTCAGCAGTTCATCCTTGTCCTCCTCAGCCAGGATCATGCAGAGCACCACCAGCAGTGGCCAGCACTCTGGCATCAAATACTGAGCTTGGGACCTGAGAGATGGCCGCAGAAACTCCTCCTAGCCATACCTCTGTAATAGTTCCCCTCTTATCAGGGTTGGTGACACCATAATCTCATCCCATTGGAGGGTTCAAAGCCAAGCCAAGAAGGGACTCAGAAAGACATTGTCAAGTTAAGGGTTTGGCCCTGAGCCCACCACCCATGCCACTACTGCCTTTTGTTTCTTCGTAGAGGAACCCTGCCTTGCCTCCTTTCAACTCTGTTTTCTTTTCTCCGTTAAACTACAATATATTACGCTGTCTTTTGGTTCTAAGTTTTGTAGAATGATAGTGACCCATGGTGCTTTCTGAATCAGAGAGTGACAGAAAGTTTCCAGAAAGTTACGTTAGCAGCTGTGTGTGGAGTGAGTGAGAGATGAGAAGAGGATGGGGCCCTGAAGGAGCCTTCGTGGTAAAGAGACATGGGTCAGACTCTGCAGTCTGCCTGGCTGCCACCATGTGCTTTACTCTTTCTTGATGCACCCCAGGGCAGACCACGTCTCGAGGTGGGCACATTTCTCTCACAGGCCTCAGTGGTTCTTGCCAAGAGCTCCAGATGCCTCAGTGACAGCCACCTGTAGATTCAGTGCCCAGCTGAGTCACTTCAGGGCCTTCCTCACCTCTCCCCTTGGGGTCTTTGGGCCAGGGTGGGCCAAAGCTGCCCATGTACCTTCCTTCCTTATGATTCAAGGACAGCCACCCCTCTCCCCAGCAAGACTTTGCCTACAATACTCCATATTCCTGTCCCTGCCCCCATATCCTGAGATCTCAAGGTTATGGAAAATCAATAAATAAAGCAAAGATTTATTTAGTAATCACTACCTGCCCAGAAATTATTCCGAGAACTTCACACATAACTCATCCAATGTTCACAACTGTCCTGTGAGGTAGGTATGATTATCCTCATTTTATAGATGTGGAAAAGGAGCTATAGAGAGGTAAAGGTCACCTCATGCCGCAGGTCAGTTAGCAAGTGGTAGAGCCAGGGTTTGAACATGGGTAGTTGGCTCCAGAATCCATGCTTGAAACTTCCATGCTATATTAATAACACATGTGCAACTTTGTTTCTCCACGATAGAATGTGTGTGTGTGTGTGTGTGTGTGTGTGTGTGTATGTGTGTGGTATGTGGTGTGTTTCTGGTCTTTGATGGCAGAGGCTTACTTTATTCAGAGGCCTTTGGGCCAATACCCCACCCACGGAGCCGTGCCCTGTCCGTGGTGCTGAAATCCAGTCCAGGTGCCTGGGGGACGACTCTATTTCAGGAGACTGGTATTACCATCACTTTCTCCAAACTCAGCTTTCTCCCATCCCTGCTTCAGTTCTGATTATTTGCATTTGGGCTCACAGACTTCCTGTCTAAGATCAAGTAAACGTGGTTGAAAGAGCAACTATAAAATAATCCTAGACTTTGTCCATTTTGTTATGTCCCCATAGAACCAAGACCAAAGAAATTTGTCTCTCTCTCAACGTCTTTATGGATAATAAAGCTTATGTACATCGGCATGTTTTCCTTTCTATCTCTGCCGCTGGAGTGAATTTGCCATTGGTGATTGGAATATTGACTTCCTATTTTTTTTTTCATTTCAGCATATTATGGGGTATAGATGTTTAGGTTACGTGTGTTGACTTCCTATTTTAACATGGATTATTATTTTTAAGTTAATTCCCTCATTGGGATGAGAGGGATATAAAAATAAAGAAAATTAAAAATCTAGTCTTCTGTTGATTGAGGCTAGGTTCATGTTGAGCAACATTAGAAACCGGGTACTCCAAAAGGAAGAGAGTGACTTAAAATATTATCTACTGTTACTCATCAATGTGATAATAAAAATATCTTCCTCTCAGAGATGTGCTAAAGAATACACAAAGTAATAAATGTAAAAAGCACTTTATAAAACACAAGATGTTTATACTGATACTGTAGTACATATATGCAAATTTCGATTAGCAAGTTTATTATAAATACTTTAAGGAAAATGTCATATAGTGTTTTTGTGTCACACAATACTGGACAGAAAATGTGCACTCAGTAAGCACTTCTTGACTGATGGACTGATTAAATAACAATGCATGCTAGAGCTTGACACAGCTCCTAGAACAAGATGGGAGATATTACCATCCTCATTTCTAGGGTTACCACTCACTGTTAATTGATTTCTGAGGAATCAGACTCTCAGGGCTAGAAATGACTTCAGAAGCCAAAAAGAGGAGCCCCCATTTACAAATCCGTGTCCTCTCTAAAACACAGTCCACAATGGCAGCCCTCTTGCTGCAGGAGGTAACACCTCTCGCTCTTACAGAGGACGTTAACCTGAGTCTAACCTCCCTTGTAAACTCCGCTCATTGGTCAGAGGTTTCTCCTCTATGGGCATAGGGTGCAACATCCCCTTGTGCATGACAGTCTACAAAAGTTTAGGGACAGTTTTCCCCTTTATCAGATTCCTTCTCTAGGTAGAACACGTCCATTCCTCTCAGCTTTGGGGTGCCCTGAGCCATCGTGGGTGCTCTCCTGTAGACATCCTCTTGGTTCCCAGAACCCATCCCTCCAGGTGGAGCCTGACTGGTTCAGGAAAGGGGTGGGCACAGGGCTTCACTTTGCACATCCTCCAACTTTGCAGATGATCTTGGCAGCTGCTTTCCGCTGCTGACTCACCCCGAGCTGGCGCCATTTTATACAAGCTGTTGTGAAACCGTGTCTCCCCATGGTGAACTGTACAGCTGTTTTGTTTGAATACACGTGTAGGGTTTTACATTAATCTCTGTTAAATCTTTCTTATTAGTTTAGGCTCAAGCTCTAAATATCAAATTATTTTTAGATTCTGATCCTGCCATCAAGCTTACTTGTTATTCTTACTAGATTCAGGCCACTTATACATTTGACCTATAGGCAAAGATATACTCACTCACTTGGGTATACTGGAAAGAAAAATTGCTATATAAAGCAAAAACTGCTTATTTATCACAGGGAATAAAGGTGTCATAATTAATATCCGGAGAGGTGGCTTGTTAAAACCTTTCTTATTCTAGAAAATGTGCAAGAAACATAAAAGCAGAGAGAAGAGTGTATGAACACCTCTGTACCC